ATTTAATCGACGTTTCGAATTCAGAAATACTGTGCAATTTATGTAGATTTACTGATTCAGATAACTTGAGTTTTTGGATGCTTTCTAAGCATACTGAGGAGTAAATGCAGATATATAATGTCAAACCTCCAGCAGCAACATCAATTAAAGGCCAAACAGTGTCCTACTGTCTCAAGCCCGCTTCTCATATCAAATTATGAAACAGTTGCAACAAGACGCGCTCAAGGTGATTTCAGACCCCCCTCAACTAAAAAAAGACTAATAAAGACATCATGAACGTTGTTCATAATTATTTCCAAACTACGAAAAGCGAAGACATTAGTAGTATTATTGTGGTTTAAATGAAGTTAATTTACCCAGAGGACCTTAACGATATTTGTTACGAACATATATTTGTATGCTAATGTAAAACAAAATGGGTTATTTCAAGAGGAATGTTCAACACTGACATGATACTGGTGAATCTGTTAATTTGAACTGAACTCTAATCGCATATAAATTATCGTTCACTATGAGAATATAAAACCTTTTATGACAATGTCGGTCAATTTTTCATGCCCTAATCCTTGTAATTGTGTCTTGTATGCATCGTTAATGGGCGATTATAATTATTCTACACAAGATATTTAATGTTCATAACTCACGAAATAATTTTTTAAAGACTGATACGAACACGTTTGTGAGAAATGATAAAGTAGCTACTCATTCACACTGAATTTTAACTGCTGTTTAATAATTATAAATTCCATCTTTCCTTGATAAATGAATCGTTGATTTGTATTATCTCTCCTCTATGTGATAAAACTTTGTGTTGTAACAGGCCTTTATTTGAAGGCTTGTGTTTTAACTCCATACTACTGTCTTTCCTTCATACTTACTCGTAACCGTATTCATCAACTGTGTTTACCACTGAAATATGCGCAGAAATATCGATTATACCCAGTAGGTTAATAAAGAGAATAATTTAATAATTCCCATTGTAGCATTCAGAACACAATATTCAGCGAAGAGACTCTTTTCAACGAATTTATTATCAAGTTGTACAATCGTATATATATGGTTTTTAAAAAAATTTATATCCGGTGAGGGAATTAGGTCAAAGGTGTGAATACATGAAATAATAATAACAGTATGAAATGAAGTAAAAATATTTGTGATTATAATCAAAATTTAATGTCAAGTGGCAAAATAATTAATGTCGTATATAGAATGATACATAAGATGTATAGATTTTGTAAAAGGGTACATAATTATAAGATTAGTAGATGAATATAAAAGGTCACATAACATGGTGTGAAATTTGATAAGATAGAATTCAATATTGTAAAAATAAAAGTATGAGAATTAATAATTTTGGGTTTAAAATGTCAAGTGGGTCAAGTGGAAAAGATTCAGAGTGAAAACAGTAATAATAACAGTAATGTTAATAATAATAATAATCGTAGTCATAAGGGAAAAGTACATAGAATAACAAAATAAACAAAATAAATAAATGTCAATCCCTCTACGGCCAAGGCAGAAGTAGGGATTGTACACACCTCTTTTGTACACAAAGGTCTGGCTTAATATAGAGAAGAAAACAAAAAGCTAAACAATGATATTTTGTTTCTTTGCTCCTTGTAATTGACGTTTGCGCCCTCATTTCAATTTGAAGAGTGTTATCGCTTTCAGTTTCCTCTTGTTACTGCATTGGAATAGAAGCAAATTGTCATCCGTGTAGAAAACTGCAGTCTGAAAGCTTTCGAGGATAAAATTGACGTAGAGACCTCTTTGTTGAGCATCATTTTCTTCCTTCTCCAAACAAATTATGGCCAAATCTAAGTTTTATGAGATGAAACAACAACAGAACTGTCAATTAGTCGTCATTATTCATAAAATTGTGGCCTACTGAGTATTTGCTAAACACAAATCATCGGCTACAATCGGTGCACTGTGCATTGCAAAATGTCTCACTAGTAAATGTTATGAGTAGTTATACTAATTTTTCACCTAAGTGCTGTATTCGTGAATGGTTTGTTTGAGATATCAATGTAGCGCGACTTCAAATATTTTGTTTCCTTCTTCTCACTCTAATTCCTGCATTTTATTAGCCTAAAATTCATCGGAGGTATGTTGGGCGGTACACACCTTTCTCTTCTCCTATAACTATCATTAACTACCGATAACTTTGTCTTTCTTGAGTGTCATCTGTATAAGGCGAAAGAGAGAAAATTTATAAACACGCAAATAAGAAAATTCCTTAGTCCTGTATACCATTACTTTGATGTTTACTTACTATTCCTGTTTCTGGATGGAAGAGCAAAATGTTCGCAAAAATGAATTCATTATAACTTTTAATTAAAGTTAGTTATTTGTATATGAATGTGCTTATTTTGGAAGGAATGAGTGGGAAAAGTGAAAGCACTCACACCACCCGTTTCACCTCTAGTCTCTTACATCTGTGAAATCAAACAGTAGTGACCAGTCATGCATTCGGAAATCAAGTTGGTGTAGGTCTGGGTAACCAACGGTAGTCTCATCTAAATGGTGTGAATTGGATGCATACTGATGTCTAATTAATTTGTCATATTTTCAAATAGACGTGTAGCATGAATTTTATTCATTAGCCTGGGACATGTGCATGAGATTAATGAGGCTGAAAAATGTCTTACACCTATTCTAGTCTATAAATTTGAATAAAACAAAATACAACCATTGGGGCACAATAAGGTCACGTCATTTTACTTCATAGGTATCCCGTGGGCCTAATGGAACATAATAACAATTACATTTAATAGTTACATGTATAGAAAGCTGTTGACATTCTTGATAATGGAGCACCATGTCGCTCTACAGGATACTTCTGAAAGAGTAAGTACCTTTTGAAGTTGCACATGCATTACTTTATCATACAAGGCGGTAGTTATTTGATATGAGAAAGTTTGAACACGTTGAAGAGGTAGTTACTTAACGTAATAAACACTAAAAATGAATGTGTGTAATGAAATACAAATTTTATCCCGTATTTTTATTTCACACAACGCAGGGTGTGCATAAAACGTCAATAACGAAATTATTCCAAGTCACTCATTCACCAGAGAACGAATTATTGTGTCATGTGTGTATTTCATACATACACTAGTTGACTGATTAGTTGTCAACCACCTCTAACACTGCTCCTTGCCATTCCAAATGCACCCTATAACTTCCTTCACATATACACCCCAGAAAACAAGAAATTTTTTTCATTCTTATTTATCGTGTTTCACTAAATCTTTACACATTCTTCGACTACGAGCTTTTTGTACATCAGATGCAATCGCAACTTTTTTGAACGACCCGAATCTGTGTGATCAAAAATAATTATGCAGCCTCTTTCTTTGCCTTGGCCAATTGCATTATATAAAGCAAGTGATACACACGATTTTCTCCTCTCCTTGTTAACATCTTTTCACTTTTTTATTTTATTCTGAGCACAATTCTAACTAAAGCAATCGACTTTTTAGTGTCCTAGTGTTATTACATGATTCTACTTGGTCATTCTATTCTCATTAGTCACCAATATATAAATTACTGAATAAGAAATACCTTGATGTTACGCCTCTCTATTGAAGTGATCTTTGATTTCACTATTACTTCCCCTCCGCCATCAAAATTTGGGCATCGTGTCACCAACTTCCACTAGTTCACTATTGTGATAATTTTCACCCCTATTCCCTTGTATACCTAAATTGGCTAATTCTTATCGACTGAAAACAATCTTGGTATGATTTTGTTGTAAAAAACTATACATCCGTGTAGAGCCGATAATGAAGAACTAATTGAAAAGGAGTACATATCATCGCTTAATTTGTGTTTTTCAGTATAAAATTTGTTTCAAGTTTAGTAAGACTGCTGCTGGTCTAATATTCCTTTCAGTAACTCAGAGAGAAACAATTTCTCAGAAGTTACCAAACACAAAGCAGTGTTTAGAAGCGCGCCAGCCAACATTTTCCGAGGGTCCGACAAAAGAAATATCGACTCTGGTAAACTTTAACGGGGAGACAAGAGTAACATTCTTGAAGTTCTCATATATATTTCAAGTCGAAGAAATTGATAAATAAAACTAAAAGCCGACAAGAGAATTGGAACTGGAATAGTTCTGTGCTCAGAACACAAGTTACACCGCTTCACACTAAATGAAGAACTCTTCAGTGTAATTTCCATAAATCGGAGCTAATTAGTAAGAATAATTGAAGCATCGCTGGATACTTGGCATCTCACCGTAAATGTTGGCTGCAGTTAATGTCTAATCGTGTTTAAACCATATTTGTGCATAACATATGATGCTCAGAGTTTGGACATTCGACCGAATTAAGTCATTCAACTACCACCTAGCAGCATAAAAGGTCGTGTATGTGCAAATAATTGGTTGCCGATCATTTCAAATGATACCACTTGCTGCCACCATCGCATTCTGCAAAATGTAAGTAATTCTTATCACACTTTTCATAAACAATAAGGACGATTTTGAATCTTAAAGTTCTATTCTCCTTTTCAAGACACATAGTGGGCAGTATAATTTACACGGATGGATTCTCACTGATTCCTTTTTAGATAAATAAAGACACAGTCTTACACCTTTACCTTCTCTGTGCTGTTCATAGCAACCTGTAAATTTCCAAAGGATTATTAAGTGGAGGGGGCTGGCCGAATAAGCCAAAACGACATTGATTGGATGATTTTGCAGACCCCAAGATTTCAATGATTCAAGAATTTTGTTTCAGTGTACAAAAGTCATCTATGGATAGGTCTTCTAAATGCCAGATCCTAGTGGATGATTTGCGTCTACAAACCTTCAAGACTCCTAATAATATAAACGTCCAAACTGGTTTACTTATGGAGCTTTAAGTTTCAAGAAAGCAGAGAATGGTGGATGATTGAAATTCATCTGTGTATTATGAACTTGTTCTAATTGTTCAGGTGATTACAATAATAAATACCGGTATGTCACAACTCATTTGACATTTCCTTTCACTTACTTCATCCAATGGGATAAACATAAAAACAATCTCAGGAATTGGAGAAATTGTAGATAGTCGCCAATAGGTCTTTCCAAATAATGACTTCGATTTAATCTGATGTCTTTGTCGACTGTCAGACAAGCATCTGCTGACCACAGTGAAAGCTTTGAAAAAAATAAATTAAAAAGGTACAAATACATGCAGTTAATTGTTTGTTATTCACAAGCATTCTTCTTCTAAAATGAACAGCAAGTGATGCCAAAACCGGTAACTTGCTGTGCAGTGCCCATCGCATCAGTTGAATACTACTGAAAAGACCATGGAAGAAAATACAGCCTTCACAATTAATAAATATTGTTCCACTTGCTATTGAAATTAATCGACATGAATGCACAGATGAATGTTTTGGCTGTAGATGAGCTTCTCAACACAGTATACGACAAATTTCAAAAGAAACACTGCGGCAAGAGGGATTCCTACGCAGTACTAGCCTAATCGATGTTATGGATGTGAACCACTGAAGCTGGTGGCCAACCATTTGACCGTGTGATGCGTAGTCACAACAAAGTATCTTCTTTTAAATGATGTGGACTGCATTTGTTTAGACAACAGTTAAGTGCCGAAATTGATTACGAAGTCGATAATTCTTCAACTGTACATTTATCAAGGTCAGAATCGTATTCTGTTATTACAAGCCAGCCATACACGCACCACGGATGAATTTGCATGAAAATGGTCCATTTCAACATCATTCGTTGTCTAAATGAATACCTTTTTTATTTTATACTGGGTTGCCCGGTAAACGTCAAATGATCATTAATAAACAAAGCCAACTAATTAAGTTGATCTACTGGAGAACTTACAATTATTGATATTAACATTCGTTCAATTTTCCAGCTTTGCCTGTACTTGAGGCAATATATTAAACTGATGACCGAAATAATATTTCTCTGAAAGACATGTATGAACTTGAGGAAGTAATTTCAGTGTAGTACTTCAACATATACATCACTTCGCACTTCAATGATTGCATATCAGATTTTGCTATGATCTGTAACATTGTGATGAAGAATTTTTCTCAGTGTGAATTATCCTCCAGAATTCACTGCTGGGCATCACATTATCTCGTGCTTCGGAAGTATTGAAACTGACAGACAGACAGACTGAGCACCGAGTACAAAAGTTATTCATCCATCACAGACTGAACATGTAAAAGGGAAGAGTCCATCCACGCACAAAACAACCAACAACTGGCCAATCGTCAAACTGAGAATCCAATCAAGCAATCGGTCAGTCAATCAGTCACTCACTTGTTCGATCAATCAATCAATCAATCAGTCGATCAATAAAGCCATCATGAGTCGAATAAGAGAGAAGAGCGAAAAAGTGAATGAAACTCACATTCCGTGTGTTCATTGATTCGGTCGGTTGGTTGGTTGGTTGGTCATTCACCTGTGTTTGAGTGTGACCATGTGTTCGCTCGCATTTTATAGTTGAACTTTGAGTATAAATAGGCAAGTAGGAGTAAGTTTCAAGTTGACAGTAAAACACAACAATGCAGATCTTCACTGTATGTTGGAATACTCTTGTCTAATATTGTGTGCCATCCTGATGGTCACTTCTTTCATTTCAGCTGGTCTTAGTTGTACTGGTTGTATCATTTGAGTTTGAAATGGGAGGTAAGTCATCCTCATCTCTTCGCCACATATCAGATAGTCAATCAGACAAATCACCTCCTCGCCTTCATCCATCCATGCACGCATTCCCACACTCGATTAGTGCATGGATTTGTCGATTATTGCTACTAACTACACCACCACTTCTACTTAGACCACTAGTGCTGATACCACTAATGCTACTATTATTATTACTAATACTACTACTACTACTACTAATTATAATAACAATACTATGAATACTAATGGCACACTGCTACTGCTTCAACAACATAATAGACTAATTCCACTATGACTTCTACTCATACTATAGCTGTGCGTCAGTGCACATCGGTTATGAATCTCGCTGGCCCTGCACATGGTGTGGTGTTCGACCGACTCCCAAGGCACACCTGATGTCTGTGTTTCACCTGCAAAATATTTGTCATCGATATCACATCCTGAGATTTTGATACTTTTGGTTGACCTCAAGCTGATTAAAGTGTGTTTTCCTCAGGGTTTCATTTCATCAACATTTTTTAAATTTTTTTATTATTTTTGATTACAGCTTGATTCCACACCGTATTTTCAGTACAAGTATGGAATTTTCAGCATGGATATCGGTATCCCAAATTTTGCAGGCCGACCATAGATATCGGGTGTGCGTCGGCAGGGGATCGAACCCCGGACCATGTGCATGGTCGGCGAGAGTCCTAACCACTGTGCTAATGACGCACATACCTACACCTTCAAGTCAACATATTGAATCAAAGGCCCCAAGGAAAGCACAAAGAATATTGCCCTTACATATGTAAAAGATATCTCAGAAGTCACGTCAAGATTCTTCAAACCTCAAGAAATTGACATCGCACATAAACTAGCAAAATCACTTCACTCAGTTTTATGTCAACCAGAAGACCCAACAACGAAAGAAGATAAAACCAACATCATAAATTGTAACAACTGGGAAAAACACTACATTGGCCAAACTAGACATCCCCTTCTTCTTCGTACACATGAACATAAGCTACCCGTCAAAAACAAGACACACATTCCTTGATATCACTACATACAGAAAACTACGGACATCAGTTCGACTGGGACAGAGTTCAAATATAAGACAGAAGAAACACCAAGAATGCTAGAGAACTTTTAGAGGCGTAATATTTTAGTGAATCGTCAATCAATAGACACATCGAGATAGACAATAGTTATCAACCGATAAGAACGAAATTCCACACACAATGGGTCGATGTTCAAGTGAAAAAAAAATCAGTTCCGATACAAGTAGCCTAGAGAATGTAAAAACACACAAGAACAACTAACCACGTGCAAGGTAACCAGGAGAGATGATTAATAAACTCGTGGAGAAATCTAAACATCACTTCGAATTGAAGTATGTGCTGATGTTGTTGCTTAGTAAGGCAATGAAAGCTTCGCAAATTAACTAGCCAGCTCACAGAACACAATTAAATCAAAATCATCCACCTAAGCTACAAATTTTCTCCACCATATCTGAGATTTCTTCTATTAAACCGACATACATTTAGACCAATAAGGTATAGAGAGATATGATCAACTATTAGTTCATACCCTAAGGATAAGCAACTATTGAATTTCACAGTGAATTCGGCATTCGTATTTGGTCGAAGGATGATAGCAGATTCATATTTGTTAGAGAGCATTTGAGAACCAGGGAGCACTTGATAGCTGTGTCCACTTTGTTTGGGCACTCATCGTCAGAACGCACCCACTAGGTTTTTTGTCTACGACCCTCCATTTACGTGTGAATTTCCTAGACCATCTAGGCACCGGGACCCAATTCAGTGACCCATGAACTCTTCTCTGTACGGATTCGTGATTTTTGTGCAATTGGTTACAACAGATATCAGAGCTGGCGAGTATTTTTCCTCACTCCTGTCCGCATTTATTCTTTTCTTAGAAACTGCATTTTTAGTAATAGACTGGATGTGACTGCTAGACGCCAGCAGATGTAATTTTCACACATTTACACTTAGTAAACTTTCTGGAGAGAATGCTCTGAGTATTTGGTCTCAGTCTATCAGTTACACCAAGCGTGCTGAGCAGAACGACAGTTTTTTCATTGTTGTGTAGATTTGTTTGAAATCATTACAACACTCATTATTCTGTGCAAATGTAACTTAATTACATGCTTACAAATGTTGTGAAATCATTATTAGATTAGTTTCAACTTTTATCAGAGCTGAATTAATCAAAGTATCATAGTCCTGGTAACTTCTTTTTCAGTGGTGTGTTTCCAGTACATTACGTGTTAATCGACTGTGTGAATTCGTGGATTTGGTTTCCATGACTACAAATTCTGCTTTAATGCGATGAAGAACAAGAGTGAAAACCGAAGAAATTCCACTAAAAGTCGTCTCAGTACATTTCGTATAAAAGCAAGTACTTTCATTTGAAGATAAACTAATCATATTTTCATATTAAGTGATCGGCTCTGTGACATAATGCAGAGAGTAGAAACAACGACACGATAGATACCCATGTTAATTCGTTTGAAGCTTGTAAGTCTTTCTTATCCAAATATTGTCATAAAGGAAAGGAAGCAATCGTTCAAATAGGCTTTTCTTTCTTCTCAAATTATTTGGTTTACTGAATTCTGGTACGGAATTTACGAATGTTCTTACATTCAGATACTTGAAGTAAGTGTCATCGCAGGGTAAATTTATTTTATAAATTCTCACAGTGATATACAACTGTCAAGGAACTTAGACCTAAGTTCCTATTGTACTGAAGACTTAAGCGATTGAACCGATAAACACTAATTACGTTTTCCAACTTTAAATCCAAAATACCAATATTCCTTGAACGAAATTATATTGCTTGGCAATTAAAGTGAAGAAAACTACAAAGTCTGCAAACAAATGTTAAGTACAAATGAAGTTATAAAGTACTTTTATTCGTATTTAAATCCAGTCTTCCTTCAACTTGCAAGCGATCGTTCCATTCGCGCCTTCAATTACCCGCCAATGGTTGCCAGTTCCAATAAAACAAACGTTCAATGTTCACTTCCATTCACACTCCCCAGCAAAAAAGGGTCCTTCCCTGTTTTCCACAGCGGCGGTGACCTTGAACTGAACTGCCAATGCGGGAACCTGGGCCACTCGGGACTAGGCTAAAATTGGAAAAGCAAGACAAAAAGCCCAACACACGGCAAACATACCACATCACAACGACACGCTCTCCCCGGCGCATGGGGTCTACGCTCTCTGACGACAATACCACCACTGATCTCGTTCACAAAGTATCGATTGCTTCATTCCACTCTAGCCCAATCCTCTCCCCGGCGTATCCAATCGCGTACGCTGACTCTAACACTACTCGATTCGTTCGCAAGTTTAGAAGCGAATTCAGAAGTACTTACAAAAACATTACAAGATGATTCACACAATGTGACAATTTTAAAATTAACCGACAATCAGATGAATCGGAACCCACTGAATTACTCAACACAAACATATGTACAGTCAATAAATCAAATATTGCGGATTCTGCCTTGACGAGCTACCCTTGAAGAACTGTAGGACTTACAGCAGTACGCCTACATTCCTTCTCAGGTTGACGATCCAAATGGAAGACGTCCGGATACAAACAAAATCAA